ATCAAAACGTACCAACTTAAATATCTTATTCTATGGAACTGACTAGAAAAAGCAGCACAAGTGGACATTCCTTTCTTATTACACCCATCTCGGAAAACCCTATAACTATAATTCCTAGTTTTAGTTTCTTTCGGTGATAGCAACAAATCCTGGACATCAATGGCATTCTTGGTACTTTTCCAACTTGTTAATTTGGCCTTAATTCTTTATGTTGGTTTTGCCATTAATTATATATTTAAGTTTGGGCATTAAGTTTCAAAATCTAACTCAATGACAATCCACCAATTCAACATCAGTCTCAAACATTGTTAAGATTTTCATATTTGACCTGGACGATATGACATACAAATTACAGAATGACGGTATACCTCATGGTAACACAGTCACCCCCTTCCTGTCTCCAATCTCAAAGCCCCCCCCTCCCTACTCTGATCCACATGGTGCTGCAGCCTTCTCTTCTCTTCTCCCTACCTTTCTAACAATTGATATTGATAGCCATGGCATCGCCATACTTGTGAGAACAAGTCAAATCAGATTCAGTCATTAAGTGCACTCCCCAACATGGTTCCGAGCCACATAAACAAAGTACATCCACATTCTATACCAAGTCAACTGTTGTGGGCCATGGAGACAACAAATGAATAATGATCATTCTCAGCATAGAACGAGGTTTGAAAAAAAGTCTAGGGCTTTTAACTGTTCGTTATCCTATAATCCCTGCTGGAAAGACATCTCTGGAGTTGAAGCTTATGATACAGTTCAAGCAATAAAGCTGTAAAACATGAGGGAACGCACACTTGCGTTACAAACAGAACCTATGATGGTTATTAAGGAGTTACAAGATATTATTTGAAGACCACGAGGCCAAACCATTGCATTGCAGTTTAAGTTATTACATTTTCCCTCACCTGCATGAAGAAATGCAAATACCACCAAACCTCTGAGTATTTGTTATTTATCTATATCATACCATCTGAGCTCATCAGGGTCTCAACGTCCAAAACAATGGCTTGGATTTTGCGGTCAGCAGCGAAGCGACAGTCCTCGCCGCTGACCTTGAAGAAAGCTGCCCACATAAGACCTACTGATCTCCGTGGTGTGGATTTGTGGCATCAAATCAAGGGAATCTCCAGGCGTCCAACAATGGAGATGCCATCATGACATTCTCACAGAAAGCAAACTAGGAAGTAAAGTGCATTAACGTGCATTTTGATCAATTTTACAGCATGAGACGAAGATTGGATTAGAACGTGAAGTATCAAACAAAATCTAAGAAAAATTAACTACATTAATATCTACGATTTTTCACAGTGGAAAAACTTGACATTTTAACATTTTTTTTCCAGGCTCAGAGGCATTCTTCAGCAGAAGACATAACCTAGTACAGTGTTAAAAACTCAGTTAAAAATTTTCAACAGGCCATCTCATTTACTGGAGTATTTAACAGTAATATTACAATACAAAAAGGGAAGCTTTCGTCAGTTGAGTGATTTCTAGACATGTCGTCTGTGGGGACTCAATGTAACCTGTGAAGATGAAGGGAATCACTGACAGTAACTTGTGGATTTCTGTGTTTAACTGTGCATGTGCAGGCACCAGAACTTGCTGTTAATTTCACAGTTGTAATGACAGCGAACACTGACAGTTTCGCTGTCACTATAACTGCAAAATCTGGGCCCATGTCTTATAAGCAGAAGGTGCAACATTGGCTGAGCAAGTAGAGCAGCTACACTCAATAGTTTATCGTTTTACATAAAAAGGTCCAAATATATGGGGTTTAGGAATAAATTGATGTGGTGAAATGCAATTAAAAAGGTAGTGCCAGCATATCCAACTGCTACCTGACAATTAACTCTAAATGTATACACAGAGTGCACAGATATGAAGATTGGTCATGCACTCTTTGGGGAAGAAGGTGAAGGAAATAGATATCAATTAAATATTCTATCTGAATACTCTGTTAGTAACAAAGAATTTATTGTATGCTTCATTCTACAGTAAAAACATTATTTTAAAAATTTTGGATAGCCAATGGTCTGTACAATCTAGCCAAATGGCCAGTAATCCCCAACCATGCAGGATACAAATCTGCACACGGCACTCTGTGAATTTGCGAATTTGATGGTCATCTGAAATGTTAAACCTTTATAGAAGACAGGCAATTTTCTCCAGCATGCTAACAAAATTTAAATAGGTCAGAGAAAGGGGACACGGCAGAGATAAACCTGAGCTGGAGCAAAAGCTACTTATTTGGAGTATGCCATATAAAAACAAATAACTAAATAAATTTAAAAATTAAAAAAAATGAGAAAAGCAATAAATAAGCACACACAAGGTTCACCAATTAGCTTTAAATTTTTTATTTTTTTTCATAAAGGGACAAAATGGGCATGTGAACAGGATAATGCAGACAACTGCCAAAACACAGACAGTGGTTTCCAATAGACTCCTGAACTTAACACAGACCAGAAACAAATACAATAAAAGCCAGGTTGTAATGACCTTTGGTCATCTAAACAAAGAAAAAAAATTAAAAAATAAAATGGAAAAAAGATCAATTTAGTGCATCCGTTTTGAACAGCGCACATAAGCAATAATAAATAGTGAATCCCATAGTAAAAGATAATTTTCAAGTTACAACAACAGCTTTTATTACAGGAATAGAAAAGGCCGATAACAAAATATTCTGCATTGCCATTTACAAAAATGTATTGACTCAAGCGGCTTTAATATGCTTTGCATATGAAATTTTCCCAATCTAAATATAAAGCACCATTTAGTTTTTGGCAATGAAAAAACTGCAAACATTTAATTTACTGCATATGAAGTTAGATGCTGGAATGTAGTAGGTGAGAGGTTAGGAGACAGAAGCACACTACAGAACAAACATTAGCTTGCAGTACTGTATACTGTATGGCAGCAGGAAGGGAACAATATGTACAACCATCCGCTTTGACCATTGGTGTGACTTTCTAAAGTTACCCCCAAGTGGCCGTTATACGACCTCTTATCTATACAATGTCACGGGTGTGTACTTTTTTTTGTTTGTTTGTTTTTTTTGTTGAAACGTACAAATAATTCGCACTATATTATCCTGCCAAATTAAAAAAATATACTGTGGCAGCCTGTGTTTTTTTTTCCACTACCAAAAAAAGGTACGTTGATACCTTTAAAGAACAAGCAACAGTTAAAAATACAAGCTTCAATATAAATACTATTGTGCCTACACTAGGTGAACATTTATTTCAAATAACCATTCTAGAAATACAGAAAAGTAGAGACCATAAATGTGTTTAGCATAGGAATCAACATGTGTGCATTTTCCTATAGTTAAGTACTATATATATATAATCTTAAACCTTTTCCCAATGTGAGTTTTGTACAACCTGAAGAGCTGTGTATCCAAGGCAGAGTATCCACTAACTGTATAACATGTAGGAGTCTTGACAACCACCAAGACACTGGAACCCTAAAATATACTTTTCCCTAACATAATGAAGTGTCTCTTTTAAAAAAAAAAAATTCTTACCATTTATACTTAAAAAATCTGTACAAAACATCTTTCACTGTAGGAGCGAGATTATTTATTCTAAATCAACTGCAGTCCCGTTATAGTCCGCTGAGGAGACGTGATGTTCAATCGTGTTGCTTTATACTTAATATTCTTTTTAAGTTTAGCCAGGTGCACTATTCTAGTCAATGACTGGCAAATTGACACTAAACAAATCAGTCCATTTTCCTTTCCTTAGTATTTTAGTAAGTTTTTTTCCCTTAATTATATGTTTGTAAACTGGGAAAATTGTACAGTGCACTTAATTGTCCTATCTGAGCTGTCTTTTATCCTTTTGTCTTTTTGCTCAGCCTCTGTACCCCTGATTAAAGAAAGGGCATAGAAGTCACAAGCAGAGTTAAGTGCGATTTAAGTAAAAGCTGGGAGTGGGGGGGTCGGGGGGTGGGTGGCTGGACAAGCACTAATGTATCACTTTATGTTTGTACAACTGCTGTGTGGTGTATGAACCAAGCATGACTTTTCGGGATCAGATAGATGCTGTGATATTAATGGATTTGTCAAGACTTTTTTCCTCGGTGTTTTGTTTTCATTTTGCTTCAATATTGAAAATTGGTTAACTCACTGGTAGCCAAAACAATCAGGTGCACGATGTAGAACCATTACTTGGGTCAATGTAAACCCAAGGCTACTCCTCCAGTACTAAACTGAAGAATAGAAAGAAAACCAATACAGTTTAAATAGATGCAAGGCACTCAGATTATTCGATAGTATTCACCCAATCATCTTCATCAAATTTATTTTCTTCTCCAAAAGTCAAGGCTAGCAATTGTTTTGTTCTAATTTAATATATTAACCCTTTGAGGACAGATTTTTCTTTTGGAAAAGAAATGGTTTTAACAGTGCGAATTCCAGTCTGTCCATAGAGGGTTAAACAAAGGAATAAATGGGGAGGGTTGCTTTCCCTCATTTTGTTCTCCCTCTCTATGTTACAACCTAAACTTTACATGATATGTGTTACAGGACACTATGCAGCATGGTAGTCTTCTTTCAATAACCAAAAAAAAACAGAGAAGGGTAGTTACTCAACACCAACTGAAGACAGAATTAAACTGCCAAACATACCATACATGCTGTCTAATTAGGAAAAAAAACAATAACATACACAACACGTAAATTATTGCACAAGAGAAAGGCTCGAGTTTGCGTAAATGCAATAGTATTGCCCCGATACAAATCATGCATTCATCAGTGACGTTAAACCAGTCGTGCTGGCATTAAGCACATGTTCCTCACGTCCTCAGCTTCCACTTCGTTTGATCACAAGAGAATAGAAAAGCTATAGGGAACTTGAGCATCAATACACCTAATCAGTTTTTATATCATTATTTAACAAGCGCTCACTGTGCCATTTTTTCATGTGTTTTTCGAGGGTACTATACACGCTAAAAGGCATCTGACAAATTTCACATTTGTAAACGTCTTTCCCCACCTGACCGTGCGTTTTCATATGTCGCGTGAGCTTGCTACTCTGGGCACAGGCGTAGTTGCACAGGTCACATTTGTATGGTCTCTCGCCTGTGTGACTTCTCCGGTGGACTGTGAGATTGCTGCAGTTCTTGAAGATTTTGCCGCAAAATTCACATGTGTCACTTCGCTTGCCCTCTTTGGAGCTGGGCCGTCCAGGACCAGGTCCAGTGATATGGGGCGTGCTTCCACCACTTCCTGTGCCACTCCGACCTGAGATCCCACCATCCATTTCTCCTGGAGGAGTGGAAAAGCGTAAACTTCCATTTTCTGAAGAGTGCTCAGATGAAGTTGCAAAAGGCGATTGTCTGGAGTCTCCAAAGCTGAGGAATGGGTCTTTCATCTGTCGCGAGGCAGCATAACCAGCAAGCCACTGGGAGTAAACATTGTCCGTGGGAGCCAAAGGTGCTGATGGCAGGTCAAAGTCTTTCTCAAGTTTTATGCGTTTGGAAAAAGGACTAAGGGAAGTCGGGCTTCCCAAAATAGGCTTCTTGGATAAGCCTCCAGAGGCTGATTCACCTGGAGAGGAACCCCTACCATTGACTGTACCATCATCTGTGCGATCAGATTCACCAGCGACTGAATCTTCATCATAAGTATCTCTTTGAACTTCTGTTTCAGATGAGTGATGAGTCCGCTTGTGTTTTTCAACAAGAACTTGGTGAAAGGCCTCACCATAATGTTGCATTGTATTCATGGTAATGCTGTGCATCACTTCAGGCAAAGATCTCTTCTCCTCTACAGGTCTCGAACTATTCTCATGGTGACGCCCACTCTCTAGATTGACACCAAAGGCAAAATCAGATCTATTATCATTTTCGGGTTCCTCCTCTTCTTCCTCCTCCTCCTCCTCCTCTTCTTCCTCTTCCTCCTCCTCCTCCTCTTCATCTCCATTTTCTGGAATCATATTGGTATCTGTTTCACTCTTGTACTTGGCTACTGCAGATTTGAGGGCACTGCTGGCACTGCCAACAAGGTCACTAGTACCCGGTTCAGGAGAGCTTGCGGTGGAAAGCCCATCGTCTGACTTGACTGTCATAGGTGAGGACTTGTGCAAGTGTGTTTTCATATGTCTCTTTAATTTGCTGGCCTGAGTGCAGGCATGATCACAAAGGTGGCACTTGTACGGTTTCTCACCGGTGTGGCTTCGACGGTGCACTATCAAATTGCTCTGAAACTTAAATGTTTTCCCACAGAATTCACAAGACTTAGATTTGAGCACAGTCTGGGCAGGAGGTGCTGTGGGCTGGAGGGGTGGGAGGGGTGGTGTGCTGACAAATGGGGATTTGTTGCTCGACTGGAATGGTTGCAATAGCCTTTGCATAGGACTCGGACGGTTCGGTGACAATGGAGGAGTGGAAGTGTTGCCAGCCAACTCTCTAAGTCTCCTAGAGAAATCCATGGATGGTGGCTCAATAGGCATGGAGTTAAGACGTAGTACCCTGTCAAAGGCACTGGTGTGATGTACGGCGACCATTGCCATCTCCTCAGCACTCAACCGATCCATTCGATGCGGGTCTAGGTGATGCCGAGGTGGAGGACTAAACAACGGAGGCGTAGGGGGAAAGCGTCCTTCTCCAAGCCCTGGAGTTTCCCGTGAAACAGGCCCGGACATTCTCAGTAGGTTGAAAGGACTACTGTCAGCTATGTGAAGTCCATGAAGTGGAGGTTGAGGGGCACAGTCTGCCCCAAGTCCTGAAGGAATACCAACCCGGGGGGTTAATGGACTTCCGTGCTCAGTTTCCAAATAAATTCTGAATCCATGGGTGTTCTGGGCATGTTGGAGGAGAAACCATGCACTACTGAATGGCTGTTTGCAAGTTGTGCAAGTGTAACTGCTGGGCTCATCCTTTCCTGCAAGAGAAAACAAACAATGTCAGTGTGAGGGCAACTGGAGACCAGGCTCAACCATTACGTTCAAACACCTGTTTAAAGGAAGAAAAAATATTAAATAAACTCACTATTCAGAAAATTAAAGAGCACTGTGGGACAACTTGATCCAAATGGTCAATTATTTTCACACCATTTAAAATGGCTGTGAACCTTTCTTTTATCTAATCAAACTGCTTTGGTTACTGCTCGGCTCATTCAGTAATCCAGGTGGCAATGGTAATTTTATTCCCGGCAACAAAAAAACAACTTGTAAATTTGCTATCCCAATCCTTTTTGGGGGAAATTTTCTAAAAGGCAAATCAGATACCAAAAAAGAACCCATTTTTTGCACTCAGACTCCAGATATATAGGTAACAGTTATTAAAACATTTACCAGTTCAAACAACTAAATGTAAACCATGATTTAATCCCCTGACTCTGCCTATCCAAAACTATTCTGCCTTGGACAGCGATAATCTGAGCTGTTTTATTCGGTCTTTCTTTCCATCCTGAAGACAGTGGCCCTTGATGAGCAATGGCAGAACAGATACCGGTCGCCTTTCAGAACCTCAACCAGCTAACCATTTCACATATTGACCAGAATTCCGAACAACGCTCACCTCCATCAATCTGGAGCTGCTGAAACCTAAGGCAACAACCTCACCTGAGATTAAACAACTCAGTTCAGAACAGAAAATGAACCTGTAAATCTGCATCTCTATGACTCAGCTGCAGAATATGATCACCATCAGGACCTTAGGGAGCTGTGCATCTAATTCCTACTGAAACAATTAAACAATTGATTGGAATTGTGAGATGGTCAGGTTACACAAAATGAGCAATGTTTCACTCATAAGTCTGAAGTGGAAAAAGCAATGTGATCTAAATTATATGCAAACACAGAGTGCTCTAATTAAATGAAGAATAAATAGCTAAACAATATTTATTTTAATATAAAAATAGAAGAGTGGGTAACAGATAATGACACTCCATGATAAATCTAAATTCCAAAATTACATTATGTGGCACCCGTTGATGAAAGTATATTTTTTAAATTAATTCATGGGACTGTGACATTGTTGTTTAGGCCAAAGTTTATTGCCCTTCTCAGTTGCCCCTGAGAAGGTTCCGGTGAGCTGCTATCTTGAAGCGCTGCAGTCCATATGGTATAGATATGCTCATAGAGCTGTTAGTAAGACAGCCCCTAGAGTTTGACCCAGCAACAATAAAGGAAGCATAACGTAGACCTTTGGTAATACAGAATATGTTCTGAAAAAAAAAATACATTTTGTCACAGTTTTCATCTTGCCCTCATCAGGACATTTGGCAAGAATATCACTTCAAGGAGAAAACTTTCACTTATACTGAATGGGAGGAGTGTGTTAGAGAGATAGTAGGAACTGCAGATGCTGGAGAATCTGAGGTAACAAGGTGTAGAGCTGGATGAACACAGCAGGCCAAGCAGCATCAGAGGAGCAGGAAGGCTGACGTTTCGGGCCTAGGCCCTTCTTCAGAAATGGGGGAGGGGAAGGGGGTTCTGAAATAAATAGGGAGTGTGTTTATTGGTTAGCAAGTAGCAAGTTAACCGTCATGCTTTGTTTAAATTTTAAACCAGGCAAGTTGACTCTGATTAGTCAGAACATTGCTGTGAGAAATGAATTTCAAATGGCTTTCACCAATTTCATTTAGTTGAAACAGGCGCAATCTGGCTACATTTCTTTCAGTGTGTAAAGAATGGGGCCCTGTGTATTAATAAACGTAACTTCCAGTGCGCACAGTGTGCCACGCTGAGATGACAATTGGCAATTGTAACTTGATTCCAGCATAGTTCCTTGTACCTTCTGCACTAACCAGCAATTATCCAATTGTAGAATCACGTCGAATATTAGAAACTTACTTGCGGGTTTTGCAAGCATGGGCTGGTTGGGCACCATCAGTAGCCGGTTGGTTGAGTATAGCAGAAGAGACATGCTGCTTGGTATGATCCACCAGTCTTTGGGATGTATGGCTACATATCCGGCATCACATCAGCACTGAAATTCACACCACATTATTCATTTGCGTAATACAACAATTTTGGTGTCTTGATGGCAGAATTCTGTTAGGGATCGATGACACTCATGTTGCAACTGCATAATAGCAGTGTGAAACAGCAGCTTCATCTGTTGCTCAAACTTTAAGGAAGCTAATCTGATGTAGACCAGATAGTTTTTAAGCACCAAAAAAAGTGATGACCTTAAGGTTGTTCATATGTTTTTCAGCAGCAGAGGGAGAGGCGACAGTGAGGACCAGGGGGCTGGCGGAAAGGTAAGTTTTCCCTCTTAAAGGCTTACCTCGAGCGTCAGCGGCCTTCATTTTTCAGCAGCAGAGGGAGAGGCGACAGCGAGGACAAGGGGGCTGCCGGGAATATATTTGGGCAGCAGGCCATTCAAGAGGCGGGAGCAAAAAGACAAGTGGTAGTTATAGGGGATTCGATTGTTAGGGGGATAGATAGTATCCTTTGCAAGCCGGATCAGGAGTCCCGCATGGTGTGTTGCCTGCCCGGTGCCAGGGTGCAGGACATCTCTGACCGGCTTGAAAGGATATTGGAGCAGGAGTGGGGGGATCCAATTGTTGTGGTCCACGTTGGGACTAACAACATAGGCAAGGCTAGGATGGAGGACCTGTTTGGGGATTATCAAGCACTAGGAACGAAATTAAGGAACAGGTCCTCGAGGGTCATAATCTCCGGATTACTGCCCGAGCCACGTGCAAATTGGCTTAGGGATAAGAAAATTAGGGAAGTAAACACGTAGCTAAGGGAGTGGTGTGGGAAAGAGGGGTTCCATTTCATGGGGCATTGGCATCAGTTTTGGCACCGGAGGGATCTGTACCGATGGGACGGTCTCCACCTGAACCGATCTGGAACCAGTGTCCTAGCGAAAAGGATAAATAAGGTGGTCACTAGGACTTTAAACTAGTGAGTTTGGGGGGGAGAAGGGAAAGGGAAAAGGACAGAGAATATGATGGTAAATAAAAAGGTAAGCAGCAGGTTAGCATGTGTGCAAGAGGGTTTAAGTTCAAGGCAGACTATGAAAGAAGCAAAAAAGGAAGGATAACTCAGGAGATATTATTAGAGATGTTGGAAATCATGAGGGTAAGAAAGTTAGCATAAAGGCACTTTACCTGAATGCTCGTAGCATTCGTAACAAGGTTGATGAGTTAACGGTACGAATCATCGCGAATGAATATGATTTGGTAGCCATTATGGAGACATGGTTACAGGATGGTCACGACTGGGAGTTAAATATCCAAGGGTACCAGACTATTCGGAAGGACAGACAGGAAGGTAAGGGAGGTGGTGTAGCTCTGATATTCAAGGATGACATCAGGGCGGTGCTGAGAGATGATACAGGTTCTATGGAGAATGAGGTTGAATCCATTTGGGTGGAAATTAGAAATTCTAAGAGGAAAAAGTCACTGATAGGCGTAGTCTATAGGCCGCCAAATAATAACATCACATTGGGGCGGGCAATAAACAAAGAAATAACTAATGCCTATAAAAATGGTACGGCAATTACCATGGGGGATTTTAATCTACATGTAGATTGGTCGAACCAGCTCGGTCAGGGTAGCCTTGAGGAGGAGTTCGTTGGGTGTATCCGTGACAGTTTTCTTGAATAGTATGTAATGGAACCGACGAGGGAGCAAGCTATCCTAGATCTGGTCCTGTGTAATGAGACAGGAATAATTAATGACCTCATAGTTAGGGATCCTCTTAGAAGGAGTGATCACAGAATGGTTGAATTTAGAATACAGATGGACAGTGTGAAGATAAAATCCAATATTAGGGTCCTGTACTTGAACAAGGGGAACTACAACAGAATGAGGGAGGACTTGGCTAAAGTAGACTGGAAACAAAGATTTTATGGTGGGACAAGTTGATGAGCAGTGGAGGACTTTCAAAGCAATTTTTCAAAGTGCTCAGCAAAAGTATATTCCAATGAAAAAGGAAGGACTGTAAGAAACGGGGTAATCTGCCATGGGTGTCTAAAGAAATAAGGGAGGCTATCAAATTGAAAGAGAAGGCATACAAAGTGGCCAAAAACAGCATGAAACTAGAAGATTGGGAAAACTTTAAAGGTCAACAGAAAGCCACAAAAAGAGCTATAAAGAAAAGTAAGATAGAACATGAGAAAAAACTAGCACAGAATATAAAGACAGATAGCAAAAGTTTCTATAAATATATAAAACAGAGTGGCTCAAGTAAACGTTGGCTCTTTAGAGGATGAGAAGGGGAATTTAGTTATGGGATATGATGAAATGGCCGAGGCATTGAACAGGTATTTTGTATCGGTCTTCATAGTGGAGGACACTAATAACATGCCAGTAATTGACAAAGAGACAAAGGTAGGTGAGGACCTGGAAACAATCATTATTACGGAAGAGGTAGTGTTGGGCAAGCTAATGGAGCTAAGGATCGATAAGTCTCCTGGCCCTGATGGAATGGTACTAAAAGAGATGGTGGGAGAAATAGCAGGTGCACTGGCAGTAATTTTCCAAAATTCGCTGGACTCTGGGGCAGTCCCAGCAGATTGGAAAACAGCAAATGTGACGCCACTGTTTAAAAAGGGAAGTAGACAAAAGATAGGGAATTATAGACCGGTTAGCTTAACCTCTGTAGTGGGGAAGATGCTGGAGTCTATTATCAAAGAAGAAATAGCAAGGCATCTTGATAGAAATTGTCCGTTGGGCAGACGCAGCATGGGTTCATGAAGGGCAGGTCATGCTTGACAAATCTTTTGGAATTCTATGAAGACATTACGAGCGAGGGGGACAATGGGGACCCAGTGGATGTGGTGTACCTAGATTTCCAAAAGGCCTTCGACAAGGTGCCGCACAAGAGGCTACTGCATAAGATAAGGATGCATGGCATTAAGGATAAAGTATTGGCATGGATAGAGGATTGGTTGACTAACAGGAAGCAAAGAGTGGGGATAAATGAGTGCT